TATTATTCATTAGTCATTATGCCACTCAACAAAAGGGCACCTTCTCAATTTCATCCATCTTCCCTGTGTTTTTTTTTTTTTTTGAGGTGGGAGTTGTACCCCTTTCTTGGACTTGGGTGTGCATGATTTGTTTCAGTGCAGAATTTCTGCAAAGTAGTCACAACATTTGTATTAGCGAAGTTAACACCATGCTAGAAGAATAGTAAATTCAAGCTGTAAATTCTCTGGCTTTCAGGAGACTCATTTGTTCTGTTCCATATGAAATAAAAATCTACTGCAGAGGAAGAGTTGAATATGACCATATACATTTATGAAGGAGCTTTTTATGCTTTATTGCTGTAGGCTACTGCTGGCCTTAGGGGTTGATGTTGATTTTATTTGGCTCAGAATAAGAGCATAATAAAAAGTACAGCAGGCATCCCGCACCTCTCAACCACCACCCACATCTCCACCCACCCACCCACTCTCAGTGTGGTGTGTTGGACCACAAATGCCAGTCCTCAGGGGATATTTACAGGAACCTGGGCAGATTTCCAAATTCTGGTGTCTGTGACCTTTTACAAGTAAGCAACAATAACAGTTCCTCATGAAATAAATCAATGGACATGTGTAGAGTACTTCAACAATAGCCTGCAGTTTTCTATCTAAATCTTTAAGAATAGAGGAAAGGTTACATTTCTCAGTTCAACACTGTTGCCCGCATTCATAACAGGACTGCTCTTCGGAAATATTTTTATTATGAAGATACCTCCCCCACTTTAGCTGTAATGTCACTTAATGCCTGTCCATGATGGATGCAAGTTTTTAAAATTCACATAACACTAGTTTTCTTTGTACAGTGCAGCCTTAGACTGATGGTTATCTGTCAGTAGATGAAAAAGCAAAATTACTTTGGCTTTTCAATTATGTTCTTCATAAATTCTCTTTCAAAATTACCATAAGTGTTTGGTCTTATAGGAAACATTCATTAAAATAAACATTCATTAAAATAAACAGAGCCAAGAGCTAAGGGTGCCCATGTTTAGCAAATATCGGGTTCTGTATGTTTCTACAGCAGAAGAGTGATGTGGCACATCATCTGCCAGAAAGACTTGTATAGAGAGGACCCTCTGTGGCACAAACAGAGAGCAAGAAACAAAGCAACTATTCAACCTTTTCTATTCACTGCACCCACATCTGTTTACATGGCCTCTGCTCCATCCTGAAAGGCTTTGTCCTCCCACCTCCATTTTGTTTTATACTGCTCTGAGCGGCTGGCAAGCTTGGAAGATTTTTTTTTCCCCTCCTTAAGAGCTAGGGATTCAAATCTATTTTGTGAAACAGAAATCTGAAAAACATGCTTATAGGTAGCAGTTGGTCCTTTTTCTAGTCTATCCAGTAGGAGCTCTAATGAGGGTTAACTATGAACTCCAACACTCTCATTAATTTTTAAAGTAAACTTAACACACAAGCTAAATTTCTTTAGGGGGCCAGCAGCCTGTACTATTTTCCCAGTTCTGCTCATTACTAAGTGTCAGTTTGCCTTCTTTTAACACACACACAAAACTGTATTTTTAAAAAAAATATATATTCCCTGCATTTGAAAATGTAAGAAGCAATTGTGTTATCTAGAAATAAAATATTGTGGCAATCTCACCATAAGTATACTTCATAATAACAGGTTCTATTTTCTAACACTTTACATTTAGAAAGTGATTTACACACAGCAGCTCATCAGATCCTCAGGACGACCTAAAGAAGCAGGGTGGAGGACTTACACTATTCTGCAAAAGAAAAACTGAATCGCATAGATTTCCTCCAGACTGCAGACTGCCTTTGGTAGCTCTGTTGACACAACAGCCAGATTGTCTTCTCTTGCATTATACACATATAACAACATCTCATGCACAACTTGATTTTAGACATGAATGATGAACATAATCCTATCTAAGCCTCCTCATGTTTTTAAAGTTCTATGATCCATGGTCAGATCCATAATGAATGAAGTACGAAAGAGGTAAGTTAAAAATAACTATGATCAGATGATTAAGAAACTAAAATCTAAAAGATTTACATATTTAAACATACTTATCAAGATAGGCATCAAATTTATTTTCTCATTTTCTTAAATTTTACTGGACGGTCTCACACTAGTAATTCAGAGACAGAGGAGATCATAAGAAGGAAAACAATATAGTCCAAAGTCAAAACTCCTCCTAGGTTTGGCACCAATTCTACTCCATCCTAACTGGGTGACTTTACCCTCATATAGCATCCAAGAGGAAAGGATAACAAACCCAAACCATCATATTTTAGTGAGAATTAAATCAAGTACTATCTGTGAAGAGCAAATGGCAAACTGAATGTTACTATATCAAAGGTAGTGATTGTCATTAGATTAGATTGTTTTTGAATGGCTAAACATAAGATTTCAAAATCTATATCATTGAAAACGACTGACATCCTGCATCAGAAGCAGGACAAGAGTAGCTTGCAGATGAAATTTATGTTATGTGCCATCTTTTGGTTTATGTGAAAATAAGAGAATGAATGATAGAAAAATAAATGCAAACCCTTCACTGCCCCATAACAGTAGTGTACAGATGAGAGAGAGAGAGAGAGAGAGAGAGAATTCTCCACCACCACATTTCTCATCTCATACAGTCAGTCAATAAATACTTTTGAATGGATGAATAACTATGGGCCCACAAAAAAAATTTTAAAGGCAAAGGAAGGTCAGAACTGAGTTACTTTAGATATATTAGTCAGGAGATTTTAGCAAAGAGAATTGTAGAACATCATCCAGTGAGGATCAGCCATGTCATGCATTTTTTTTTTATTTCTAATTATTTGTATTATTTCCTAGAACTGATGTGAACATAATTTGTGGTAAATTTATATTCAAGAAATAGGACATTCTGGTCCCTAAAATAGTCACAAAATTCAAAATAGATGAGCAGTCTTAAGAACCTCTATAACTTATTTTACACAGAGAACAGAAGGTATTTCTAATCCTGCTCACAGTCAGCTTGAGTATGTGAGAAAATATACAAAATAAACTGTGTGAACTAAAATCACATTTTCTCTTTCATTCAGAAAAAAAAATTCTTTGAGGAAACATCAAACCTAACAAAAAAAAAAAAGATTAAAGGCACAAAAATAAGTGACATTGATGGAGAATTGCATGTAGTTGCCAAACTGGAATGCAAAACCATGTTTAAATTTTTAGGAGTTAAAAGCAAAAAACAACAACAAAGATAATTGGTATTTCCTGAGCTTAAGGACTAGCTTCAGTGGAACATATGGTTTCACTTTGAGGTCTCTCGCTTCTAATGAAAATGTTACTATTTCTGTAGGCATCTCCACTGAAGGAAGTAGGAAAAATAGCTAATTAAACTAGAGTTAGTTCAGCTAATTTCAATTTTATCTTATCGTTGGCTCTTTACGTTTTTATATACTAAATTATAGGATTCTTTGAAAACAATGTAGGAAAAAATAAAGCATTTAAAAACCACATTGGCTGAGATGAGATGCATTTCAAATAGCATGTGTTAAGAAACTGTAAATCCCCTTTGATGTATATGATTGCTGATAGAATCAAGAAGTTATGGAAGCAAATAATTCAAGTCAGGGTTTCTTCTCTGATGAATCCAAAGCAAAGTAAGACTTTAAAATTTATTGAGAGAAGTGGTGTTCTGAGTGTAGTATTTTAGTTTTCTTTTATTAAAAAGTCTATATTCAACCGTAACATTTCTCCTTAAATCTATAGTCATTTTATTTGTTAACACCTAGACTTCACTAGGAATTGAGCTAGACTGCACATATAGACCTGTATATGCATTGTATTTTTCTATTATAGTAGTTCATGGTGTCAAAATTAAATAAAATGTACAATAGCAGCTTTCAAAACAAAGTCTATTTAGTGCTATGCTATAGAAGTACATTCAAAATTCAAGAGGAAATTATTAATTATGCCTTCTTTAATGTAGTTGCTAAGAGTTAAATTATGTATATATTTTTTTAAAAAATCAGATCAGGATTGTTTGGGTCCCCTTCAAAAGCAGATCTTTCCAATGTTTGTCCTTTCACATAAACAAATTAACCTGAGTAGAGTCAAAGTGGGTACCCAGATTTCCCCTTTCATTACTCAGCCTAAGTCATTAGGAATTCTCCAAAATAAGAAAACTCTGTTGTCACATACCCTGGAATTAATTCAGGGAAAAAAATTAGGAATGTGATAGTCTTCCTTTCTTAAAGATATTCTAGTTCCAAACTTGTTTCAGTTGGGACTACAACTAAGAAATATTTTTCCATTAGTACAATGATTTTCCCAGAATGGAAAAGCACAAAAATAGTTTAAAAGAGAAAACCTTGGTGAAATATATTCAAAGATGAGAAATCAAGAGAAAAGGAATGACAAAAATATTTATAATGGCTCCTATCACCTCCAGATTCTTAGTTTTTTTATTTCTATAATTTGGCAAATTAGGTCAAAACCTTCGAATGTGCCATTTATTCAAATGAGGCCACACTAAGAGCAAGTTTTCTTAAATAGCAACTGGAATAAAAGTGTTTCAATTTGTCTCTTGAAATATCTGCTTATCTTTCACTGAATTAAATTTGTTTTGATTTGTTTCCTATATTCAAGAGGAAAAACCCAAACAACCCAAATATTTGTAATGAATTAAAAGCTAATACAGCCTTGACAAGATGGACTAGATACAGACTTCCACTAGGAAGAGAACTCACTTCATCTTAAATCTTATAATCGAATGATAAGACATAAGCTAAAAGAGACAGATTTTTGCACATTGAAAAATATAACTGGCTTTGTTTGAATTTTTGATGAAGTTTTCACAAAACACTTACATGTTTGGCAGTTGCTAAAGTTATTCTTATTTTCTTACTTGCAAATTACTCATTAGTCATCTACTGCTAGTAGAAAATGACAAAACATGGAATCTTTGGTTTGAAAATAAAGATCCTCAGCTGACTCTTAAACACACTTTATGTTAACGTACCTTCCCTGTTGTGGGTCTGTCTCATTTAGGAATCTTTGGTGGACACAACTGGTCTCTGATCTAACAAAGCTCAAGTCTGATGGTGAGGTGGTTGTGTGAGTCTGTCCTTCCATACACACTGGCTATGGGTTTCTGTTTACCTGCACAACATGTGTTCCTCTCAAACCTGAGATTCTGGGAAAAACAAAGGAATGTTCTAGAATTTTATCATAGTGTGAAGTTTGCATTTTACAATTGGCAGCCACCAATAAGTCCTAGCTTGCTTCCTCTGGTCTATTTCTTACTAATTAACTTGCCATATATAGCACTCATGGTTCTTTAAAAGGTAAAATGAACACACAAGAGAAATGCTTGTGAATCTAACATTCATTCCACTGTCGATTAGAAGCATGGCAGTTTACAAAATAATAGAGGTGTTCTAATAAACTGTAAAGCATTTATATGTAGTAATCAGCTCCTACCCAGATTTATTGGGCATTCTGTTTTGGTCTTATAAAAGTTGTCAAATTTAAAAACTGTTTTAAACTCTGTACTTGCTGATAAATTTGCAGGTCCCTTAAGCTCTGCAAGGATGGAGTCTCAAAGGAAGAGAAAAGACATCAGTGGAAGGAAATGGGAGTGAGGTAACTTCTTCAAGAGGAAGAAGAGTTTTAGTGAGTAACATCCACATTTAGATGAACTGAATAAGAGTAATTTCGTCAAGAAAGGCCTCCAAATCCCAGGCATTTTTCTTTTTCCAGGAAGGAACAGTAAAGCTAGGCAGGAGATACTTGCAAGGGATTGTTGGAGGATACCTCTGGTCTGAAAATAAAAGGAAATGCCAGGAGTCCAGCGAGAGAGGATAGAGCACTACAGCTGGGAGGAGGAGCAAGTTGACCAACGTGACAGACGCTCAATTGAACAGTAGTGTCTGAGACCAGCCATCCTCCCTGTGCATCCTTCCCTGAGCTCCGTGGAGCTTGACCTTCCACAAGGAAGGCCCCAGACATTGCTAAAGTCTGCCATAAACTTCCAGTGTGACATCTGACTTACCGTTTTCACTGTTGCTATTTTTTTTATCTTTCTCAGGAGACTGGCCTACAACCCAATGCACAATATGTCCTCCAAAATATATCCTAGATTATAAAAGTCAAGTTCATCTGCATTGCTTGCTATAGTTTACTTTACTATATACAAGTATTCCTATATCCCTTCCTTATATAAAATCCATTTGAAAATAATGATCCAAGTATGATTTAAACAAATAACTAGAAAATTGGAGAAAAAAATAACATAACTTCAATGCTAGACTCTCAGTTTGCCTTTCTTAAAAAGGAGTTGTAGGATCCTAATGGTCACCCATAAAGAAAAAAGGTTAGAAATCTATAACAGGAATTAAGGGATTGGATCAGATTGGAGGCATAATAGCTCTGAAACTTTGAATTGTTTACTACTAGTTGTAGTTGAGGATTGAAAGAACTTACCAGATAAAAACAAAGTAGATGTGATTTTACTAAGCCATCTGTATGACACATGTCCTTGACACACATGACTAGAACTGGGAACTCGGTGGATGTGTTTTAATACCACATAATCAAGAGAATCTAGACCTCTGCCACTCAGTATAGCTATAGGGTTAATTTAATTGGGTTGATAAGTTGTATTCAGCAGCTTAAATAAAACCTACTTGCATGTGTATAATCAATAAACAATTTTATGTCTCTTTTCTTGGATGAAAGTATGAGCTAAATGCAAGCAATTACAAGTCTACAAATAAGGAAAAATATATGTGTGCACTGAGCCTGAACTGACAGAGTGATTCTGGTAATTGGACATGTAGGTTTACAATGGGAATTTGGCTTGGCACATGCTCATAAAACAACAAAAGATCCTTTTATATTACCTTTTAGCTGTCATGAGTGCTGATGTTGCTGTCCTGGGATGAACTGGGGAATAGAGTCTAAAAAGTATTGTTGGAAAATTCTTAAACCAACTAGTTGGTAATTTGATTAGCAGCATTTGTCTTTCAAATGCCAAACTCAACAGTAACATGTTCCATATGAAATAAATTTGGGAAATGTTGTGAAAACACAAATACATTCAGAGAAAATGTGGGTCACTCCAGGATCTTTGTCCACTCCTTTGGGCCCTTTGCCCTAACATTTTTCATATCCTATAGGTTCAAGGATAGCAGTGATCATCCTGTGGGCCCTTTCTTCCCTTAACCAATATTAATTGGCAAGAAGAAGCAGCACACTTTTAATAGATTTGCCAGAAAGGTTTAATTTGGAACATATAAATGCTCCCATTAGAAATATATGCAGCTTAGCCCTCAAAAAATAGACAAAAGCCTAGAAAAATAGACAAAAACATTTACTGAGTCCAATGAGTACTTTTTCTTTAATTGCAAAAAATATTTTAGGAGTTTTTGCAAGTAATCTGACAAACTTTTTAATTAAAATGTGAATTTAAAAATTAATCAGAATGTCATGATAGCAAACGTGTTTATGGCCAGCGACTTTTGGCATAAAATACCATCAAATATATAGAAATAATATAGGCATACATCTTTGTAGCAAAATGGGATGTGTAGTGTTTTTTTAATCAAAAATTGTGTTATGAAATCCATCCTATTGATTATATAGGGGTGCACTTGTATATGTATAATTTTAATTGGGTGAGAAAATCACATTACCTTTGTTCTTTAGAAATATATTTCTTAATCATTAGTGTTGAGTTTAAGAAAATTCTTCTGCGCTATCTCCAACCTAAAAAGCCATTATCTAAAATTCAGTTTATATTACCAATGTACCACCACATAGTGTACCATGCTATTCTCTGCCTGTTTTCATCATCCCGTTCACCAAATTACTTTGAAATATCTTCCTCTGATGTCTGGCAACATAAAAAGAAGAAAATAAACATTCAGAATCTTCACTGTGTTCAGTCAAAGCTAAAGCAAACTACAAAAATTGTGACTGGCCCAATAATTTTGTGAACACAACAGTTAAACTGAATTTCACTTGTGTATCATTCCTTAGATGATTCATTGTTTTTCTTGATTGTATCTTAGTTATTTTAACACAGTGGAAATGATTGATGAGTAAAGATAAAATAATTCCTAGAATTATGAAATAGCAAAATGTCTCATGGTCCATGAAGAAAATAATAGATTATTAAGATCCCACAATACATCTCTCTCTCTTTTTTAATAAAGGTATCTGATAGGTCCATATGGTAATTACAAATCATTTCATTGTGTTAAAAAATGTCTCTTTGAACTCTGGAAAACTTTAAAAAAGAATTAAGAGTCACAAAATATCAATCCTTATAAAGTGTACTTTTTTTTTTAAAAAATTAAAATTGAATTCAATGACCCCTGCTCTAACAGGTAGAGTTAACGGGATAAAGCCAGGAGGTCATGGAGATAGATACCTGTATCAACAGAAAATGAAGCAATCGAAGATTTTGTACTAAGTGCATTTGCTAAGATATCATGAAATGTTAAAGTGGAAATACACTTCCACATGAAATAAGTAAAATAGAAGTGTAGTAAAAACCAATTATGCAAAAAACCAATTATGAGTCTAGTAAGTTTTAGCAGCTCCTGGTGTTGAAACATCAATATTCTAGACTTTCCATATTAAGTAACAAAGAGATTTAAGGAATCTTATTTTATGGTAAATCATTATGTAGGCCTCATATAAGTATAAATTTGAATTACCTTAGGTTTTGCCCATCTTGGATTTATTTCAAAGGGCAGCCCTCTGCAAGGTGAATGATGCGAATGATCTGGCTACTCCCAGAGTGTGCTATGATTTGAGGAATACCAACAAACATTGATTATCCAAATTTTCTTACCTTACATTTTCTTAAAATATAAGCTGTTATTTTATCATTATCAAATAGTTTAATTCTTTAGTTATAAACACACTCATATTTCAGACACTTAAAGAGAAATATTTCAATTGTTTATTAGTTTGATTTAGTTTAATTTTTTTTTTCAGATTGCATGTGCCAAAACAGAATTTGAGATGTACACTTGAGAAAATGAGTGTTTATATCAGCTGGTCAGCAGAAATCAGTTGGAAGAATACAATCAACTTATCTGGAGTGTGATTCTGGGTCCCATCGGAGTGCAGCATGAGAGTAGTATGTGCTCCTATCCCACAAAGAATAGCAATTTAGAAAAGGAATGTTGCACAAAGTGAATTCAAGGTCACCAAGAGCAAACTTTACCACATCTGCAATTGCTCCAGGGATTTCATTTTCTTCATGCCCAATGTGCCTGTCTTATAAATACAAAGAATTTTACAAAATTTTATATATATATATATATCACAGATAATTCTGAAGCCACACCAGTGATGTGTTCCGCAGTTGCAACAAGAGCCTCTTTCTCTTCATGAAGCCCAGATAAAAAGAATACCAATGCTTTAATGGTTCCTTTGTTTCCTTTCTGAATCCAAGAATGAGAAGAAGGAAGAAGAGGACAAGAAGAAAAAGAGAAGGTGAAGCAGGAGAAGGAGAGAAAAAAGGAGGTGATAAAAAGGAGGAGGTAGACAAGAAGGAGAAAGAGGAGCAAGATGAGAAGAAGGAAGAGAGAAGGGAGGAAGAAACCTTTAAAAACTATTTGAAACAAATTTCAGAGGAGGGAGAAAATATAGATGTCATTTTGCACTGTCAGTGAGATCGATATACTTACTGATTTAGTTGCCAGCATCCTGTGGAAATCATAGAGGGATCACTTGACAGATCCGAGATGCAGCCAACAGAAGGACTATGTATTCAGGTTTGGTTCACATGATATATTCATCTAAACAGCAGGGGGTACATTTTCTAAATAGGTCACTGGGGATCCACACAAATCCCATTAGCTGGTAATAGGATTTGTGTGCATAAATTCCCTTGCCCTGAAAATTTAGATTTTGGTGTTTAATTTTCCATATGACCTGTACACTCATTAGTGTAAATTAGAGTTTCTCTGGGAAATTTCACATAGTTTTCTTTTTCTTTTGTGTATTCTTTTCTAAAAGATGCTTTATAAAGGTTAATCCTTGGAAAATTCTTTAGTGTCTGAAAACATCTGAGAGGGGATTATATAGAAGAGAAAATCTTGAAATATAGTTACTCATGTTTTCTACAACTTA